ATTTTCCATAATTAGCAAGAGACTTGTAGTAATTATTTCAGTGGCACCTTTTTCTGCCATTTTTAGCGCTTACTGGAAATCAGCTGTCCTTGAGGTCGTGGGATGGGGAAAGCTATCCAGGCCCATTTTTGAAGTGGACCTACACCCTCGGAAGTCAGATCGGTAGACAGTAATGGTCTTTAGGAACGACTTTGGACTTTCTGGCTTCTAGGAGCGTGGTAGGATTGAACTTCTTGTCTGTGAGTGTTTGGCTGGGAACATGGTCCGTGAACTGTGAGCGAAGGTAATCTGCGTCCTTTCTGGGCTCAGAGTGGTTAATGGACAGAAGGAGACCCCAGAGCATTTTGTTTGTCCTCATTGTGTCACAGCTGCCTTCAGCAGGGCTGCTCCATTAGCCCGGGCGCCTGAGTGACTCTGGTGAGCTAAGCCTGGCCCCCAGTGGGTCTATAACATGAGAAAGAAAGAATCTTTGTCTTATTGCAAGGTTTTGAGATTTGGGGATTGGTGGTTAGTGTGCCATACCTCGCTTCTATCGATGGGTGCACCAGACGGATCTTTCTGGCTCCTTCATTGTATTTCTAAATCATCTTCTGAAGTCTCCCCTCTCTTCCTTCCCCCACCCTGCTCTGATGCAGAGCTAGAGCTAGAGAATCTGAGAGGGGAAAGTGAAAATTTATTTAGTTTTAGTCCCAGTTGAAATTAGACCTACCCAGTGCAATTTTTTTCTTTCTCTCTCTAAAAAAGTGAAAACAACCACAAGTCCCTACCTATCACCCCCCACCTGCTAAAAAAAGGTATCAAGAGGCTCCCTACCTAGACAAGGCTTCTCCACAGGTGTCTTTTTCAGTGGTGATAGACTGATTGATTGATTAATGTTCTTTTTTTTTTTTTTTTTTGAGAAAGGGCAGAAACTCATGTTTGTTTCAATTTAAGGGCCAGTCACTTACAAATTTTGACTAAAACCAATTTTCCTTATTTCAGAAGTATATTTTTAAGGAAGCAATAGTAGATTTTTTAAAAAAGATTTTATTTATTTATTTGATAGAGAGATCAAAAGTAGTCAGAGAAGCAGGCAGAGAGAGAGAGGAGGAAGCAGGTCCCTGCTGAGCAGAGGGCCCGATGTGGGGCTCAATCCCAGGACCCTGGGATCATGACCTGAGCCGAAGGCAGAGGCTTTAACCCACCTAGCCACCCAGGTACCCCAGTAGTAGATTTTTTTAGTTAATGGCTTTGTTTTATGAAAAATTATAGTGATTTTATCAATAGTATATTGGTAAAATTTTTGTGGAATATTTAAAAACACACAAAAAAGTTTAAACTATATAAAACATATTTAATCTTATTAGTAAGATTAAAATAATGTATATTGATGGGAGATGGAATTATAGTTGGACTATGAGCCTACAAGCTACTTTATTATTTTTTTTTATTTTTTGAATTTTTATTTGAATTCAGTTGACATATAGTGTATTATGAGTTTCAGAGGTAGAGGTCAGTGATTCGTCGGTCTTATATAAAACCCAGGGCTCAGTACATCATATGTCCTCCTTATTGACCATCACCCAGTTATCCCATCCCTTCACCCTACACCCTCTAGCAACCCTCAGTTTGTTTCCTATGATTAAGAGTCTCTTAAGGTTCGTCTCCCTCTCTGATTTCATCTTGTTTTATTTTTTCTCTCTTCCCCTATGATCCTCTGTTTTGTTTCTTAAATTACACATATGAGTGAGATCATATGATAATTGTCTTTCTCTGATTGACTTCCTTCACTTAGCATAATACCCTCTAGTTCCATCTATGCCCTTGCAAATGGCAAGATTTCATTTCTTTTGGAGGCTGCATAGTATTCCATTGTATATATATACCACATCTTCCTTATCCATTCATCTGTTGATGGACATCTAGGTTCTTTCCATAGTTTGGCTATTGTGGACATTGCTGCTATAAACATTCGGGTGCACGTGCCTTTTTGGATCACTGCGTTTGTATCTTTAGGGTAAATACCCAGTAGTGCAATTGCTGGATCTTAGGGTAGCTCTATTTTCAACTTTTTGAGGAACCTCCATGCTGTTTTCCAGGGTGGCTGCCCCAGCTTGCATTCCCACCAACAGTGTAGGAGGGTTCCCCTTTCTCTGCATCCTCGCCAACACCTGTCATTTCCTGAGTGGCTAATTTTAATTTTCTTTGATGGCTTGTGAACTCCCCAGTGGCTCTGCTGTATCTTCCTTGGATGGCACAGCAGTCAAGGACATTTCCACCCCAACCCTGTTTTGTCTCTCCCTCACTCAGAGGCAGACTTGCCTTGTTCTCTGATGACTCTTCCAGCCTTTTCCTGCACTTTCCCTATTTTCTTCTCACACAGGCATTTTCCTTAATAAAGTTTTCCATGTTCAATCTCCTTTTGGCATCTGTCCTGGATTACAAGAATCTAATCCCAGGAGATTTTTTTTTTCTTTTAAGCCTCACTGATCTATAATCTGGTCGTAAGGCAGACGGGACAAGAAAGTGAGTTACGTTCTGTGTAAATGCTTCTGCCTCCAGGAAATGGCCAACAGCTCTGCACTGGGGGCTGCGTGCCAGCAGCAGCATCTTCCAGGGTGAAGGACCGGTTACAAGGGAAAATCTTCCTTTGCCATCCTTACTGTAGTATGAACACTGGGTTCTTTCTGTGTTACGCTTTTGAAATCTTCATTATTAGAAATTTTGTTACATGTCACAGTCCAAGAGTTTTATTATATTTTTTTAAGACTTTCTTTTTCTTTTTTTTTTTTTAAAGATTTTGTTTATATATTTGACAGAGAGAGATCACAAGTAGACAGAGAGGCAGGCAGAGAGAGAGAGAGGGAAGCAGGCTCCCTGCTGAGCAGAGAGCCTGATGCGGGACTCGATCCCAGGACCCTGAGATCATGACCTGAGCCGAAGGCAGTGGCTTAACCCACTGAGCCACCCAGGCACCCCAAGAGTTTTATTTTTTGAAATATCTTAATTTTTCTGGAAAGAGCAGATGGGACATATTTGGCTTTTGATAAGAAAAATGGAGCAGCTATCGCAGAGAGAAGGGTGGTTAAAAGGACGGGTTAGTAAAGGGATCATCACAGGGAGAGACTTGGGGGGAGGGTGATAACTGGTTAACATCCTCTGTAGGAGAACATTGTGAAGGGCAGAAGCACCGGGGCTGAACTGAAGGGGAATTTGGCCCCAAGGTGGGGGAAAGACTGATCTCTGAAAGCAGCTGTTTTGGAGACACCACAAACTGATGGTTTTTAAACTGAATGTGCGCAGGAATGTTCTAGGGAACTTGGCAAGACTGGGCATTCTAGCGGAGACTGTCATTCAGCAGGTCTGAATTATTACTGCATTTGTATTTAAAAATCTGCACTTCTATAAGCTCCCTGAGATGTTTTGATGCAGTTAGTCTGTGGGTCATAGTTTGGAACAGCAAACTATCTTAGGTGGTTTGTCCGGGAGAGTTTCCTGTTTGAGGCTGTATAGAGGCAGAAGAATAAATCCGGATGAGTCCTCCTTAGTCAGTCTCAGGCTCTGGAAATGCACTCTTTATTTATTTATTTTTTTAAAACATAACAGAATATTTGGAAAGATTTCAAGAGATCAAGCTCTAAAACTTTCAAGGTTATACATTTAATAATAATTTTGTCCTAATGGAGCTATTTCCCCCCACCGATTCAGTGTCAGCCCAACACATGTTTCCCAGTCTAGTCCACTGTAGAAGTAGGATAATGACCAGCGGTACTTCCCTGGTAGGGGTAATGATGAAGGAGGCAAGTTAAGGAAAATAATTAGGACAATGCTTTGGATATTACAAAGCAGGGATTGGCAGACCTTCTCCACAAAGGGCCGCTAGTAAATGTGTTAGGCTTCGGGAGTCCTACTGTTTCTGCCGCAGCCACAGCTCTGCCACTGCCGCAGCCACAGCTCTGCCGCTACCGCTTGCAAGCAGCTAGGACCGGGGACGGGTGCTGCGGCTGTGTTCCAAGAAAACGTTATTCATGGAAATGGGTAGTGCACTGCCTTTAACCCACAGGCAATAGTTCACCTAGTCTTGCCATACAGGCTTGATATATTCTACTATTCATAATAATAATATAATGGCTTGCAAATAATCTTTAATAATTAGCAAATCAGGTTTTTAATCAAGAAGTATATACATTACCTGTGATTTTTTTCCCCAAGGGAAACCACTCATAGGAACAATGAAAAATATGTTGCATTTAAATGCTGGTGTCATTTCGATGGAATTTGAAGAAATAAAGCTTCCACTGTCAAAAGATTGCCGTTACATTGCTGTGGGCACTTCAGGGGCAAATCCAGGCCTAAGTGAAGAGCAGTGTCCACACAGACTTTGGAAGAGTAAGAGGAGAAATAGGCCTAAATCTTTAATCTCTGACCTTTTCCCTTTTCAAAAGGCCTTGGTCGGGGCTTAGGGCAGAGCTTATCTCCCAAAGCACAGTTCACCAAGAGAATGGCTGTGGTGGGTTACTAAACCAGATGTTTATTCTGTTGCTCAAGGTCTATTGACATGGAATTGCTTGTATCTGTTTTAGATTTCAGTTCCAAGAAAATGTGTCTCCTAACAAAACTGTACGCTTCCTTTCATCAGATGACAAGATTGCATATTGTTTTACCTTTTGCCTTGTTTACCTACAAGGTCAGAGGTAAATAAAAGGCTCAAGCATTGTAATACTTTTCATCTACGTAGAACATATACTTCTTCCCTAATGCTTGTTTTTTCAAATGAAAAAAATGAGAAAATTTTCAAATTTTTTCATTTCATAAGATGAAATGAAAAATCATTTCAATTTTTCTTTTTCTTTTTTTAACCTTGAATCTTCTTCCTTTATTTATTTTTAAATAATTAAAAAAATTTTTTATAAACATATAATGTATTATTAGCCCCAGGGGTACAGGTCTGTGAATCGCCAAGTTTACACACTTCACAGCACTCACCGTAGCACATACCCTCCCCAATGTCCATAACTCAATTTTTCAAATGAAAAAAGGTTGCAAAATTTTCAAATTTCAAAATACTACCTTAAATATTCTGGTATAGGTGTCTTTCATTGTAAATGCCTTCACATGCTTCTTAAATCTGGCCGGACTATAAACCAAATATTATGAAAAAATTAATTGATCATATTTGCAAGAAGAGTGCTGTTATCTATGTTAAGTTCCTCCAGAAGCAACATATATATGATTATAAATAAAATAAACTGTTAATAAGTACTTAATCAGCAATAGCGGTTTTGTAAATAAGTATATTCTGGGGAAAGGTTATGATCCACAGTCCCAGAATCAAGCAAAACTGGGTTCCAGTCCCAGCTCCAGGATAAGACCAGCTGTGTGGTCTTGGGCATGTTACCCAACTGCTCTGAGTCTTGGTTCATCATCTGTAGAATGGGTAGAACAGCTGCATCCACATCACAGAACTGTTGTGAGATTTAAAGGATGCTAGTACACGTGGTGTACCCTGAGCACAATGTCTGCTCTGTTAAGTACTGAATGTGTCTGTAACTGTTACCGCAGCTTTATTTTTATTTTTACAACGGTGCTTCTGTCAAAATGTAAGAAATGTGCCTACTGGCTTTACTTTCTTTCTTTTTTCTTTTTCTTGCTGTGTTCTAAGATTCATTGCGTACAACACCCAGGGCTCCATGCAGCACGTGCCCTACTTATTACCCTTAATACCCTTAATATCCTTAATATCTGATCATTGCTGACGCTTTCTGACTCGAGCCTCTCCTTTTCGCCTCCAGGAGTTTTGAGCGATTCCCTATTGAGCAAATGGACCATGACCTGACCCCTGTGAACTTTGTTACGAACTCTGAGCAAATGGACCATGACCTCACACCTGCGAACTTTGTTACCAGTCTCGGTAAGAGACTATCGGGAACATTCGTGCCGGAGTTTAAATATTTACCCACCATTGAAATTTTCCAATGTTTTCAACCATGGGGCTTGCTTTGCCTTCTGTATAGTCCTATTTTTTCCACACAAGCCCCTTCTTTGGGGCCTGGCAGCACTATTTATCCAGTGCCATTTAATTGTCCTTTTGGAGAGTCTGAGGAACTTGAGGGAAGGGTGGAGTAGCAAAGAAATTTTATGACGCCATTTTGGTGTTCTCCGTGGACCGAATTCTGCTAATTCTTTACAACCACCTCTCTCTGTCCTCTCAACTCTGAAATACAGAATCCATTAGATTTCCCATTTTTTTCTTTTAGTCTTTTTTTTTTTTTTTATAGGAACTGGCTGATAGTACAGTCACAAGCTTTAGGCTGACAGATTAGAGCCACTGAAGCTGAAAACAAAGGCCACGACAATAGCAAGAAACCCCAGGGTTTTCAACAGGAAGGAAACCGGGAAATCCGGAGAAGCTTTTACTGCCCGGGTCTTCAAAGGCTTCAGTATCCGTTGTTTCTGGGTGAGGATGGCACTCTTGGCTCCCTGCCACGGCCTGGGCCCAGTGAGGCGGTACTGGTAGGAGTTGCAGGGTCCAAAATAGAGCTTCACAGCCAGTTTGGGGTCTTTCAGCAGGAGAGACAGGATGTCTGGCTTCGCACCTATCTCTGAGGCAAGCTCGTCCAAGTAGTCGATGTAATTGGTCTGCAGCGTCTGGCTCTGGCTCTTTCCAAACCTTAATGAAAAAAGTAAAAAATGGCGGATTCACAAAATGTTCTAAGTCGCAGAAGAACAGGAGGTGTTTGACAGCGCTTGGAAGAATGACAGGCTGAGTGAGTAAAGGAGGTTCGAATGACTCTGGTGGAAGGTTTGAACTTATCCCGTCTGGAGGCCCGTCTCAGATTGAGAGTAGCTGTAAAATCAAGAGCTGGTCGGAAGTCTGAGGAATGGGACAAGGTTTATAACCACGATTACTATTGGATATTTAGTAAGCGGCTTCAGTTCTCCCGGCAATACACATCAGTCAGGATGGCTGCAAAGATTCGTGCACTGACACATATGAAACCCTTGCTCAGTGTCTTGCACAGAGGAGACGCTTAATATTTGCGTGTTAAATTATTAAAGTAGTTGGCGCTCTGGCTGGCATAAAACAGGTTCTCAATAGATGTTAGATTAATTAGAATTTGACCATGAGACAACCTGTATGTGTGATGTCAGGCCCCCCGAGTCTACTCTCCAAGGGTGCTTGGTCACTGGTGGACCCCATTTTACCCTATCATAGAGCATCCATCTACTTTGGCTTCTCACCGACTCCCTCTGATTTACTTTGATAGGACATCCCCCAGCTAAATTTTCAGAGACACACATGGCCACTGTTACTACTGCTGCTCTCACCCCATTTCCTCTCTCACCACAGAATCTAACACGGACATCATACAAAACTGAAATAAAACAAGTCCAGGAAAAATGTCCCGATTTGGTAAAATTTTTATCTTTATGTAGTTGGTCCTACTTTTTTATTTTTTTAAGATTTTATTTATTTATTTGAGAGAAGATGAGAGAGAGCAGGAGCACGGGGAGGGGTAGAGGAAGAGGGAAAAGCAGACTCCCCACTGAGCAGGGAGCCCGAGGCGGGGATCATGACCTGAGCCAAAGGCAGATGCTTAACTGACTAAGCCACTCAGGTGCCCCATGGAGTTGGTTCTTAAACTAGTATCACCTGGGGAGGGGCACCTGGGTGGCTCAGTGGGTTAGGGCCTCTGCCTTCGGCTCAGGTCACGATCTCAGGGTCCTGGGATCCAGCCCTGCGTCAGGCTCTCTGCTCAGCAGGGAGCCTGCTTCCCCCTCTCTCCCTGCCTGCCTCTCTGCCTGCTTGTGATCTCTCTGTCAAATAAATAAATAAATCTTAAAAAAAAAAAAAGAATCACCTGGGGAGAACATAAAAATAGAAATTTCCAGATTCATCCTGAGGTTCCAATTCAGTTGGTCTGGGTTGTGACCCAGGAATTTGCATTTTTAAGAAACAGGTAGGTGGGTAGTTAGGTCACCCTGAGAAACACTGCTTTATGTAAGGAATTAAAAAAAATTCTTACAGATCGATTCTTTTTTCATTCCTCTGGATAATGTCCACCATCATAGTCCTCTCTGAGGGCAAGGTACACAAACCTAGAAATAAAAGACTGGTTTGAGTGGTGGGTTTGATTCAGTATCATTGCTTTTTCTAGTAGTTGGTTCCTACCCTTGAGCTTGGCCATTTACGCATCTTACGACAATCAAGGCAGCTTGGTGTTGCTGGACTCCAGGCTGGGATGAGTTCTGTGTGGTCTGCTCTTAAAGGGAGCCCAGGTTACAGCGAGACCTCTGACGTGGAGCGTGTAAGGGAAGAGGCTGGAGAAGGAAGGTGAGCCTGAAGAGCCAGAAATCATGCCAGGTGGGTTGAGCTCTATTTTAAAGGTGATGGGAAGCCATGGAAGGGTTTTCTGTAGGTGGTGACAAGATCGGATTTTCCTTTTAGAAAGATCCTTCTAGCTGGTGAATTTTGGGAAATGGGCTCAAGGAAAGTGAGTCTAAAGGTAGCAAGACCAGTTGAGAGGCCGTTGAAGTAAACCTGGTGGGAGTAAAGTCAAGCAGTGGGGGCAGAGAAGGTAGATTGGTGCAGGAGTTATCACTGTGTGCTTGTGATTCCATCCCTGTCCGTGGGTGTTCTCGGACATGGCGAAATGGTCAGTTTCCCCTGGATGTAGTTAGTCATCAGACATACCAGAGTCAATGAGTCCAAAACCGAGCTTCACTGAAGCTCTCCTGGTCAGACTAGTGTCTTCCTCCATATGTCCTCTCTTTATTCCTGGCTCTGCTGTCCACCCAGTTCCCATGGCCAAGATCTGCAAGTCATCTGTGATTCCTCTCTCTCTCTCTCTCTCTCTCATTTTCTACATTCAGCCAATCATCATGTCCTGTGGATTTTATCCCCGTTTCTCACATTTCGTCTTCTCCACTTTGTCTTTCTGCTAGGCTCAGCTACATCATATTTCAGCAGACTTGCAGTGGCTTCTCACTGGTCTCAAAGACCTCATTCTCTTCTCATTTCAAACCTGTCTTCCATACCAGTGCTGAAATAATCTATTGAAAATGTAAGTCTGGTAATGTTTATTCCTTGCTTATAAAGTTTCATTGGGTTCTCTGGTTGAAGAGCTTTCTAAAATGGAGATTTTAGGTCCTCAGGTCAGACTTAATCAGGGTCCCTAAGGATCCAGATGATTTTTATGTATGGCCAGATTTGGAAAGAACTGATCTACATTTTATATTGTAAGCCTTTTAGCGTACGTTACAAGGCTTCCGTGTCCTGGCCCTTCTCCTGAAAGATTATTCTTTAAAAATCTCTCATCCCTCTCTGCCTCGTATGTTATGCTCTGGGAATATCAAATAGCTTGTAATTCTCCATATCCATCACGCCTCTATGCTTTGGCTCAAGAGATTCTCTCTTCTGCACCTGAGAAACTCGGTCATTGAGCAGGTTTTTCTTGGCCACATGCCCTCATTTATCCCAACATGCTGCAAAGCACCCTTTTCCTTCTTTCTATGCACTCCATGCATCCCTCTACCAAAGCATTTATCTTGGTATGTGGAAATGATCTGTTCGTATTGCTGTCTGTCCCACCAGGCTCCAGCACAAGGCTAGGTATTCAATGAGTTTTGGTTGAGCTCAATTGAACCCTGGGGTCAGGGAGATAATGGCCTCCTGAGGAATGCAAAGTGCTATGCAGATCCTTAGACCAACCCTTTCAATAACCTTATAACTTTGTAAGGATCCGTGAGGTTGAGCTTCTTAACATATTGAGAGTTAATTTGGAGTTAATGTAGAGGCCCTGGGTCTCTAGATTTGCACATATTCAGAGGAAATTATAAACATTGTATAGGTGAAGTCAGGAGTCAGATATCCTTTCCTTCTCAACTATTTTTTCATGATTCCAGGAAAGGATAATATGTATTTAGCTTTATGAAAATTGAAATTCTCTGAACTTTCTAATATTTTAAAGGGATGATTACAGTTCTTTATTATTATTTTTACTATTATTATTGTTATTATTTTATCTCTATATTTGTTATTTTGCAAATTCTCCACTAACTTTTTAGGACATTAATCTCACAAGAGTTGCCTAAGTTTGGGCAACTTCTTCCTGGCAGCCTCCTTATCTAAACCTGTTATTGAGCAAACTCCATCAGAGATAAAACCCTCAGCCCCTCACTTTCCCACTCGCATACCTTTGAAAACCCTGGTTGCCCATCGAGCTTGAAGTTCAACAGTTGGGAAAATGGAACCTAGGGGTTGGATGAGACCAATGCATGCCAGAGTTGACTTCTCCAGGTGAGGAGGGAACATGTATTTATACAGTGAGACCATCTTATCCTCTACTTTCACAAGTGAATCTTCAAGGAATGGAAAAGAGAAAGTATATCCTGTTGCAAAGACAATGACGTCAATCTTCTCCTCCACTGTTCCATCTTCAAATATGGCAGAAGTTTCCGTGAGCTCTTTCACTGTCGCTTTCACCTTGATGGCTCCGTAGAGTATACGACTTGGAAGATCATCATTTAGTACAGGTTCTTTCATAAGATATCTGAAACATGAAGAAGAAAACACTTAGAAGGAACATTTAATGATATTGGGTGAGTCTTGAAACTCTCTTGATATTTTATGGGTTTGGCTCTTGAAATAAAGAGATTTCTCAACTATCCACAAAACTTTCTAGCTTGACTAGTTGATCTACCTCAAACCTTACTATCTGACTTGATTCTCATGTCACAAATCTCTCCCCTCGATGAAGAAGAGAAAACATGTAGGTCGTGTGAGTAAAAGACATTTCAAAAAAGGAGGCATCCCCAAGGGCTTAAACAAAATACCATGGCTATGGTCATTCCAGTCATTGTTACCCCATCGATGTTTCCACTATTGTTTTAATTATCTTGCTGTTCTACTTAATCTCCATCTGATCATAAATAAGAAAGGAAAATTTTGTTAAATCCCCATTAGTTTTGAAACTTTTATTAAGGGATCAGCATAAAAACCAATGTATGAAATTAAGTTTGGGATATTTGTTGATCCCAAATATCCATGGAGTCTCTGCATGTGATAGCATGTGTGATAGAGCAAAGTCTGGTTGTATTTCTGGAATTCCCCTTTTCATAGATTTGAGAACCACTTTTTAAAAAAATTAGACAATATGGGGCACCTGGGTGGCTCAGTGGGTTAAAGCCTCTGCCTTCGGCTCAGGTCATGATCTCAGGGTCTTGGGATCAAGCCCCACATCGGGCTCTCTGCTCAGCAGGGAGCCTGTTTCCTCCCGCTCTCTCTGCCTGCCTCTCTGTCTACTTGTGATCTCTGTCAAGTAAATAAATAAAATCTTAAAAAAAAAGAATAAGACAATACATGCTACATGTATCAGATCTCAGAACTGAGCAGTCACATGGCATTTGTTGAAAGATTCCAAAGTTCTTCTGTTTTTGTATTTTTTTTTAAGGGAAGGAGCCTGTTATCGACTAAAGAAAAATAAACATTCATACTGTTTGCTTGTGTTTATAAGATCAGTGATATATAACTTTGAGCTCAGTAGAGATTTATTTCTTGGCAAAGAGATAGTGAGTATGTTCTCAAAAGCTGCTCATGGGAAGAGCCCTTATGGTGTACAGAATTAGCAAAGCATGAGGTATCACATGGAGAATTTGGGACACATTTCCCACCACACCCCTCTGAAAGGAAGGCTTCAATCTCTTCAAGCAGCCTTTGCCAATGTTGGACAGCTTTGGGAACTAGGAAATTCTTCCCATGATCCTAGTTCTGCTTTCTAGAGCAGCTCATAATATTTTTTTCTTTTTTAAATTTATTTTTTTATTCATGTATAATTAATATATAGTGTTATATTAGTTTCAGATGTACAATATAATGATTCAAGAGTTCTATACATTTCTCAGTGCTCGTCAAGATAAATGTACTCCTAATTCCTTTTGTCTATTACCTCCAGCCCCCCACTCATCTCCTCTCTGGCAACTGCCAGTTTGTTCTCTGTATTCAATAGTCTGGTTTTTTGTTTGTTTGTTTGTTTCTTTTGTGTCTTAAGTTCCACACACGAGACAAATTGTATGGTATATTTCTTTCTCTGACTGACTTATTTCACCTAAGCTTATACCCTCTGGGTCCATCCATGTTGTTGCAAACGGCAAGGTTTCATTCTTTTTATGACTGAGTAATCTAATTAAAAATGGGCAGAAGACCTGAATAGATGTTTTTGCAAAGAAGACTTCTAGCTGGCCGACAGACACATGACAAGATGCTCAGCACCACTCGCCATCAGAGAGAGACAAAACCACAGTGAGATATCTCTTCATATGTCAGAATGACTAAAATAAAAGACATAAGAAATAACAATTATTGATGTGGATGTGGAGAGAAAGAAACCCTAAATGCACTGTTGGTGGGAATGCAAATTGGTGTAGCCACTGTGGGAAACAGTGGAGGTTATTAAAAAAGTTAAAAATAGAATTATATGGAAAAAAAAAAAACTTAAAAAAAAAAAAGAAAAAGGTGCGCCTGGGTGGCTCAGTGGGTTAAAGCCTCTGCCTTCAGCTCAGGTCATGATCTCAGGGTCTTGGGATCAAGCCCCGAGTCGCGTTGGGCTCTCTGCTCTGGGGGCGGGGGGGGGCTGCTTCCTCCTCTCTCTCTTTGCCTGCCTCTCTGACTACTTGTGATCTCTGTCTGTCAAATAAGTAAATAAAATATTTAAAAAAAAACTAAAAAAAAATAGAATTATATGATCCATTAGTTCTACTGTTGGGTATTTACCCAAAGAAAATGAAAACACTAATTTGAAAAGACATGTGCACTCCCATGTTCATTGCAGCATTATTTACAATAGCCAAAGTATGGAAGCAACCTAACTGTCCATTGATAGATGAATGGATACAAAAGATGGGGTGTTATATACACAATGGCATATTACTCAGCCATAAAAATTTCCCAATATTTCTACTTCAACTTCTTAAGTATTTACTTTTTAAAAGGTATACAGAACAAATTTGGAATTGAAATTCCAGGATGTCGATGATACTCATACTGTTAAGTTGTGATTTGAAATACCACATTAGCAACTGGGCTCTTTATAAAGAGGCACCTCTGACAACCTTGCTTACCAATGAGTATACCATAAAAAAGCAAAATAACTCTACTTGTTTTGAGGCTCAAGGCCATAATTTTCATGGTTGAACCACTGATTCATCTGCTGTTCCATCATCCATTTTCGAATCATTTGTGGCAGGACATTTCGGAGCATGGACCTAAACCGGGTGTGGAACACCATGTCCCAGGGGTAGCCATCTTCAGAGATCCGACCCATGACCCAGGAACCGTGTCTGGTGCTGACGAATACCTGGTAAGCAAAAAGGAATGCTGCTTAAATCAGGCCATTGTCCCTTTTGGAAAGGACCTACTGTGTAGACAATATATCACATGTATGGCTCAGAGAAGTAAAACACTTGCTCTGGGTTAGCAGGGCTGATTAGTGGCAGGACTAGGAGGTAAACCTTGGCTTCCTGACTTCAAGATTTTTTATGATACCACACTGTAGTAACCAACCAACCAACCAACCAGTTAACGAGTAATGGAACCTTGGTTATGTGGCGGATATTCCAATATGCCCTTGCTCCTTTCTCTCCTCCATGGTACAGGATGAATAGAGAACATCATACCTGAGCAGCCTTCTTACTCAGCTCAACGGCAATGTCTGAGGCTGAGTTTCCTAGTCCAATCACCAGGATTCGTTTCTCTTCAAGTCCCCCTGGGTGCTTGTATTGGTGGCTATGGAAATACTGGCCTTTGAACCTCTCAATACCTTCAAGGGGAAGAAGAGAGAAGTCCATGGGTTATGTCAACTTCAATAAAAGTGCACCGTCAGATTTTCTTTTTTGGAATCAATCATTTGCTTGGCCTCCTCACTCCTTAAGGAGGTTACAGTGGCAAGGCCAGCTGACAGACTGAAAGCATATGGAACCCGTATGCATATGGAACAGGACCAAAAGAGTTGATTTCAGGGGTTGCAGCATACATATTTATTAGAGAATAAGATGGTTTTGATAAATTGAGTGGAGTCAGATGCTGTCTTCTGACTACCTATTATCTCATTTCAGACTGTACAGTAATACTTTAATATCACACAGAACATGTATTCTTTTAAATGTTTTTGAACATATTATGAAATGCTATTATGGTACTTGCATAATAATTAGAATGGTATTTATCATTCTCATTTTGCAAGAGCAAACAAAAAGTAAACTAAAAACCAGGCACATAGAAAGTGAAGGATGTTTCCACATTGCAGGATAAGTCGGTAACTTACTGGATAAGCCATTTTGAAGACAAGACTGTAGATTTCCCAGAAAAATATGACGTTGTTAAATATTTATCTTTTATGGTGGGTTTCTTTTTTTTTTAAAGGTTTTATTTATTTGACAGAGAGAGATCACAAGTAGGCAGAGAGGCAAACAGAGAGAGAGAGAGGAAGAAGCAGGCTCCCTGCCGAGCAGAGAGCCCAATGCGGGACTCAATCCCAGAACCCTGAGATCATGACCTGAGCGGAAGGCAGAGACTTAACCCACTGAGCCACCCAGGCACCCCTATGGTGGGTTTCTTGAAAGAACCTTTGGATCATTAGTTCTCATAGTGGGGTCCTTTGACCAGCATTATTAGCTGGAACCTGGGCACTTGTTGGAAATGCAAATTCTCAGCTTCACGATGCCTTCACGATCTACTGAGTTGGAAATGCCTGAGGTGGGGCCTCCCAAGTTGTTTTTAAAAGCCCTTCAGGTGATTCTTCTTTGAGAATCAGTGCTTTCGGGTAGAAGAGCTCACACCTGGCTGCATACCTTTTTTAAAAGGGCTGTTTATCAGAGATAGAGCACAAGTGGGTGTGGAACTTGGGGGACGGGCAGAGGGAGAGGGAGCGAGATTCTCAGTTAAGCTCTGCACTAAGCATGGAGCCCCAGCAGGGAGCTGGGGGTGGGGAGGGGGTTGGTTCAGTCTCATGACCTGAGCTGAAACCAAGAGTCAGAGGCTTAACCAACTGTCTTCCAGCTGCCCCTTGCCTGGCTGCATATTAAAATCACTTGAGTAACTCTTAACTGCTTTAGGCCTACACTATACTAACTGAACATCGGAGGTCATAAGGATGTTAGAGGGTCCACAGATGGTTTGAATGTGAGACCTGGACTGTGAACCACTGTATTAGCTATTTTCCTGAGGGCCTTCGGGGGGAAGTATACTTTCTGAGGGAAGGGCCTGGGAGGTACCAGGTCAGATGGCTGCACGGTTCCCTTGTCTGTACTCTTCCCCGTCACTCTCTGTGTGCCCATCACTGTCCTGTAGGAGAACTTATTTCCACGGAACCTCCTCAATAACCTGTCTGAAGGCATGGCTCTGAGGAAAATTCTCCAAGGACATGGAAAAGTCACAGTGTTTGGCAGGATAGATAAAGGCCGAGGTAGGTAGGTACATGGTGAGAAGGGCCTCTCCAACAGAGAACCGATTTGGGTGACAATGCTCTGAAATTCTGGGGAAGATTCAGTGACTTTGGAGGAAGTTACTGAGGTCCCTGTGTCATGAAGACAGAAAAATGGTATGTGGAGACTTTCATCCTTCTAGCTCTATCTAGATCTTAATACTATGCCCAGTTGCAGTAGCTAATTCTGCCTGTCAGTCCAACCTCCATATAAAATTCCTGGACACTGTAGGGTTGCAAAATTTCTCACCTCAAAATGTGTCTCCTTGGCATGTGGATAATGTTAGGCTAACATTTTTTAAGAAACAGAAGGCTTAGAAAAACCTCTTTCCCTCCTAACTGCCTAAAAATATTTAGATAGAGGACCTGCTCCAGGAAGGGGGCTGTCACCCTGGATAACTACAGTATAATAGGAACTGGGTGAGGTAGATGGGGAGGAACACAGCAGTCTGTTTGTTGAAATTCCTCTCTGTGTCCCACCGTTTCTGAGTGGTTCAGCAAACATTAGTTTACCAAACACTTACCTTTTTCATCTCCCTGTGAATTGTCATCTTTCCCTTTGTGGTCCCCAACCCCGACGTCCTTCTCTTTAGCTCCGAATGGCACATGAACAGCAGCTGCCTGACTGCCCGTGGGCCTCATATTCTTATGGACTCTGCATGCATAATTGCATTTCATTTTTTCCTATTAATCTGTTTCATGTCATTTCATTTTTTCCTATTAATCTGTTTCATGTTAACCCTTAGACTAAGCCCAAAGAATGTTGGAAGGTAAGAGAAAATCTTTCCTCCCCAACAACCCCTGCTCTGAAAAGCTGGGAGTCCTCGTGGGCCTCACCTGGAAACGATTCCTGCGGCATGTGAGGGAGGTTGTGGTGGCCGCTGCAAACCATAACTGCGTCAAAGACGGCACTTTGCTTCTTGCTGTTGCACTCGGTGACAACCTCCCATTGGCCTGAGGATGAGAAATCCGGGTGTTTTTTCACACTGAGGACAGTTGTCTTGAACGAACACAGAGAAGCCATCATTGAACATTACTCTGGCATAACAGGGGCCTCACTGAGTATCCTGGGAGTGGGAATGGGTGGAGTGCACTGTATGACTCCATGTGGGTTCCATTTGAATCCTGTTCAAGCCACTTAAGACAAAGACTGCTAGGTGTCCCCTTCTCATTCTTCTTCGGCAGGGAGCTACCAAGGCTATGGTACTTTGTACAAGACTCAGCCACGGGAACCAGTCTGTTAAGGATTGAAAAAGGACTTGAGAGAGAGAGACAGAAAAACACAAAGTCTGGGCAAGATATGGAACACATGCCCATCATTCAAATGATCACATGGTCAGTATTTATTAAGAATCTTTTATGTGTCTGCCTCTGCGAAGACGGTGTGTTAGAGAAGATATTTCAGGCAAAGCACTTTGCACCGTGTCTGTCACGATGTCTGGCATCCTGTGAATGGTAGTTGTTCACATTATTATTTTTCAAACAGAGTACATTATGTTAGCAATATAGTTCATGATCTCATTTGGATGAAATAATTTATGCTCATTAATTTTTTTTAATGTAGCTCACACTGTCTGGAAGTCTATGAATTTTTTAGAAGTATCCATAAAGGTGTTACATCTTTTTTAAAAAATTTAATTTTTTCAGTGTTCCAAGATTCGTTGTTTATGCACCAGTGCTCCATGCAATATGTGCCCTCCTTAAGACATCTTTGATGTGTAACAAACAACGTCAAGTGGAAGTAAAGTTTTTCTCACTGCTAGAATAATGGCATGCTTCTCTTGGTTATGAGTATTTGAGTCCCATGTACATGCTTTTCAAATTTTCAGATATTTAAAAAATGCTGGGTTGGCAATTTTTGAAGGTGTTTCAATTGAAAAAATATATGGAGATTATTAGCATAAAGCTTGCAAAGGACTATAAAATGTCCAGGCATTTTTGGCTGAGATTAAAGATTTCAGATTTGCAGTTTAGGGTAATAGATTAGTTAAAGTACTGTGAATTATTGCTATTCAAAATTTGGTTTGAGAACCAACCAAATTCAACAGAGCCTTTTACAGTCTAACATCTTGTGGCTTATACCAACTCAGAGACCAATAATGGAAATGAGTGTCCATTGGGGAACCCCTCTCTAAGCTCCAGGAAACACAACAGCAGTAATATAATAAATAAGAAAAATAGTTCTCTTGCAACTTTAACCTGATCTTTCAAAGAGCAGATAATAAAAAGTACATATCATAAGAGGGCAATATATCTGTTAAATAAATTAATAGTCATATGGACAAAGAACTATAAAAGCTTCTGGCATAAAAAAAATCTGTTATTCGTAGGATGGCTCCACCAGGAAATGAGTAATAGTTTTCTAATGTAGTACATTAGATATATTTTAATGGCATTTACAAATATAGATTTCCACCACAATCAGCTATTATAAATTAATATAATACAAACCTGGAACAAAACTGAAATTACTGAGGAAATGAGAAGTGTCACAAAAAAATTAGTTCACTGATAGACCTAAATGTGAGACAGGAATCCATCAAAATCCTAGAGGAGAACACAGGCAGAGGCAAGGGAAACAAAAGCAAAAATGAACTATTAGGACTTCATCAGGATAAAAAGCTTTTGTACAACAAAGGAAACAATCAACAAAACTAAAAGGCAACTAATAGAATAAGAGAAGATATTTGCAAATGACTATCAGATAAAGAGCTAGTATCTAACATCTATAAAAAACTTATGAAACTCAACAGCAAAAACCAAAAACCCCAGTCAAGAAATGACTTGAACAGACATTTCTCCAAGAAGAAAGGCAAATGGCTAACAGACACATGAAAAAATGCTCAACATCACTCAGCATCAGGTAAATAAAAATCAAAACCACAGTGATCAGAATGGCTCACAGGGGTCAGACTGGCTAAAATTAACAAGTCAGGAAACAATAGCTGTTGGCAAGGATGCGGAGAAAGGGGAACCCTCCTACACTGTTGGTGGGAATGCAAGCTGGTGCAGCCACTCTGGAAAACAGCATGGAGGTTCCTCAAAAAGTTGAAAATAGAGCTACCCTACAACCCAGCAATCGCACTACTGGGTATTTACCTAAAGGATACAAACATAGTAATCCGAAGGGGCACATGTACCCCAATGTTTATAACAGCAATGTCCACAATAGCCGAACTATGGGAAGAGCCCATATGTCCATCAACAGATGAATGGATAAAGAAGATGCAGTTATGTATTTACAACGGAATATTAGTCAGCCATAAAAAAGAATGAAATCTTGCCATTTGCAGTGATGTGGATGGAACTAGAGGGTATTATGCTAAGTGAAATTAATCAGAGAAAGATAATGATCATATGATTTCATTCATATGGAATTTAAGAAACAAAACAGATGAATATCAAGGAAGGGAAGGAAAAATAAAATAAGATAAAAACAGAGAGGGGGGCAGACCATAAGAGACTCTTAACCATAGGGAACAGACTGGGGGTTGCTCGAGGGGAGCGGGGTGGAGGTATGCGGTAAGTGGGTGATGGGCATCAAGGAGGACACATGGTGTAATGAGCACTGGGTGTTATATGCAACTGATGAATGACTAATTTCTGTCCCTGAACTAAACTGAATTTAGATTAAAAAAAGAAAATAAAAAATTAGCTCACTAATAGTTATTTATTCAGAGATATAATATAATTTTATTTACTAAGCATAGTTACTAGTGTTCGAAGTGTAGGTTATTGATAAAAATTCAGCATGTTTAGTGAGAATATTGTTTTCTTCTTGTTGATTCTTTGTTTTTGAGGGAGCAGAGGAAAGCTAGCATGCAAAATGATCCAGCCGTCCTTATGTTGCTAGAGAAGGCACCATGCCACTCCCCGGAATACCAAAAATAGTTTCTACAGGCTTATGAAGTGAATGGGGAACTGTGAGCTCATTTAGTACATTTTTTTTCTTAGAAATTCCATTTCTAAAGAGATGATCAGAACATGAAATAGTAGTTTGATTTTTCCTTCTGTTCTTTCAAGGGAAACGAGGCTAGGAACCCGTAGTGGTTACAGACATTAGCTTAACTGCAGTTTCGTTTTCCATATCATCATTAGTCAAGCCCTTAGTATTAACAGGTGATTTTCCTCTTCTGCTAAAGTGTGTGTTATCTATAATATCACTACCTTTTAGGTCTTCTATTCTGTTCTTCCAGCAAAAAATTGGATTGGAATACTTTGTTTTCCTCACAATTTCTTTCATTACCAGAGTAACTTCTTTGTTTACATGTGAGCTGAACCCATGTAGAGAAAACCATTCCCCCCAAAATACAATACCTGGAACTGAATATATTTTAGAAGATCAAACTTTCTGGCAAAAATCCTGAAGTATTCCAGGAGCTTAGAATGGTGCAGGAAGTTTGGAAAGTCTTCAGGCATTGGAAAGTCACTGAAACAGGACATTTCTTTGCTTGTGTTGGTGATGACAGATTGATAGATACTTGCTCGGCCATCTTCAACATTTTCCTGAAGAATCAAATAAAAAGAGTGATAATCATGTTGCATTTAAAATAATCCCTTGGTGTTTCACACTTCTTCCAAACCTAACTCTTGGGAAATGTGATCCTCTTTCATTGTCGTAGCATGACGGCAGTGTCTGGGTGATGGGGTTTAGTATATGTGCTCTATCATCCCATGGGATAGGGCCTAGTTGGGGCCCTCCACTGTTGCTCACTGGTGGGATTATTACCGCTGGTGGAACTGAGCGTGGGGACGATCCTTCTTTTGCCACATTGCAGGGTATTAATATCCCTGGTCTCTATGTACTTAATGCCAGCCATTGGGGCAATTAGGCCCATTCTGAAAATTCCCCTGGGGAGGTTACACCCACCTTCCTTTAGGAACCAATAAACTCTGGGATACTGATCGGAAAACCTAAGGGAGAATTTCAATTAAAATGAATACTTCTGGGGGCAGCTAGTTTTCACATGTTAACATGAACGCACCATCTTCATTTTATGCTTTATGCAAATCAACCTTCCTCAGGTGATAAAAATGAATAACATTAGTACCAATCAAATCTTTTTTTTTTTTTAAATTTTATTATTTATTTGACAGACAGAGATCACAAATAGGCAAAGAGGCAGGCAGAGAGAGAGAGGGATAAGCAGGCTCCCTGCTGAGCAGAGAGCCCGATGTGGGGCTCGATTCCAGGGCCTTGGGATCATGACCTGAGCTGAAGGCAGAGGTTTAACCCACTGAGCCACCCAGGTGCCCCAGTACCAATCAAATCTTAAGCTTGAATGTAAATGTTGGCGAGTACGCTTTGGTAAAATCGGAGGTAGCTCATAGTATGGTTGAGTTTATAATTTCCTCTAAGCACTGTGCATACAGATAATATTCTTTGTGTTTAATTATATAAGAGCCAAATATGGTGATTCAATGTCTCTGAAATCAGCAGGTTCTCAAAGAGGCTTGCATAAGAACATTTAAATAACGCCACCAGAGAAGTCCTCAATAAATGCTTCTGGGCAATTTGAGGCTAGTGTTTGAATATTAAAATGCCAGAATTTATTCATCCAGAGTTCAGGGTCGTTGTATCCTTTTGTATGAGAGGGAAACCCCTTCATATTCTAATGCAAACTCCCTTAGCATTCAAACACTTACACACCGTTCACACCACACCAGAAAACTCTCATCACCTAGGAAGCCGGCTGGCCCTAATCTCAAAGACTTAATGACTAAACTGTGGAATCTCAGCTCTTTTATCAGCAAAGATTTTATGTGCATTGGGCCTTGCTGTGTCCCAAGTTCAGGATTATTAGTACCAAGATGAGTTACCAAAGCTAAAACAATGTTTGTGTTTAGATTATGTCATTTAAGAGCAGTGTGTAGAGGACCTGCTAAATCAGTCTTTGTTTATAAGGATTCTCCTGAAATCTTAGCAGTGGTATGATCTGAGCCTTGACTCCGGACTGATAAAGTTAAATGCGTTTTTCTTGTTCATGTTCAGAAAGGCATTTGGCTCCTGGCCTATGGTAGGCGTGAATGAATGAATGAATGGATGAATGAATGAACGAGAAAGAGAGAGAGAGAATAAATGTGTAAGAGAGGAGCTGCAAATTGCATAATTCTAGAGTCATACTGATATGTAAACTATTTCTGGATGTTTCCACATGGTGGAACACAATGCCCTTGGTAAGACTAAGTGTCGAACTTTCCTATCCAACCAAAGTCTCAAACTTAGAAATACAGTTGACCCTCAAACAACATGGGCTTGAACTGTGTGGGTGCACTTACACTTGGGTGTTTGACAGTACAGTACTTAGGATTTTCTGATAATGTTTCTTTTCTTTAGCTTGCTGTAGTGTAAGAATATGGTATATAATACACATAACATACAAGGGGTATGTTAATCAACTATTGATGTTATCAGTAGGGCTTCTGGTCATCAGTGGGCTATTAGTAGTTATGTTCTGGGAGAAACAAAAGTTCTATGTAGATTTTCAGCTGTGGCCCCAACTCCCATGATGTTCAAGGATCAACTATATTTCATGAGGCAGAGAAATACCAATTTTTTCCTCAAGACCAGATAACTTTATAAGTAGTACAGAGTAGAGTTAAACTTGAGAGTCCTAGAGTCTGACGGGGGTTGATATCCTGATTCTACCACCTTTAATGGCTTTATAGCCATGGACAAGTCACTTAAGTCAATTACCTCAGTTTCTCTGTAAAATGAGGTTCACTAATAATTAGGACATTGAACAATTGTTATCAGGCTGAGATTAGATAAAGTGCTTAGCACAAAGCCTGACTTTAAATAAGAGCCCAACACATGTTTGCCTCTGTTGCTACAATTATAGGTCATGAGGGTTAATCTTACTAAACCAGTCACAGATTTGAAATAGCTACACTAAGATTGTTGTACTATAGCCGACATGATAGTTTTTTCAAGCACCAATAAAATGGCTTTGAAATGTGGTTGGTTCCTCTGTCAGGTCAATTTTTTTTTTTTTTAAGATTTTATTATTTATTTGACAGTGAGAGAGAGACAGTGAGAGAGGGAACACAAGCAGGGGGAGTGGGAGAGGGAGAAGCAGGCTTCCTGCTGAGCAGGGAGCCCGATGTGGGGCTCGATCCCAGGACCCTGGAATCATGACCTGAGCCAAAGGCAGACGCTTAATGACTGAGCCACCCAGGCGTCCCTGTCAGGTCAATTTTAAGGGCACTTGGAGTGATGCGAACTGGTTCTGATGTCCGAGCTCTATAGTAATTTCAGAGTCTGGGCAAGACTCCCCTCTGGGAGTTGTATTGGTGTCGTTTGTCAATAATTGATGATGACATCACAATTTTTTCCCTGAAGATCATGTAATAATCTTTATTATGGTCGATTGGCATACAGGGGTTAAAAAAACGCTTTATTTCTGCATGTACTTCTTCCTATGTTGGCCGAAGCAGATGTCTATGTGTTTAGATAAATCAGGGTAAAACTGGGGTTTGGTGAGGTTTTACAAAGGGAGAATGATTCTTATTAGTAAACAAATACGTATCAATCACCTCTCCTGTCCAGACCCTGAGCTTGGAGTTAGGGACAAGAATAAAAACAGGACACACAGTTTTCTATCTTTAGGGAGCTTATTACTACATTGAATGAAATGCATTTGGGCTTTTAGGATGGAAAGATGGAGACAGAATGAGATGACAAGCCCAAAACAGGAAGACACAGCTTTCAAAACAGATAAATGTAACTCATATACATAATTAAAAATGTAAGCAGGGCCGGGGTATCTGGGTGGCTCAGTATCTGACTCTTTTTTTTTTTTCTTTTCTTTTTTTTTAAGTGTCTGACTCTTGATTTCAGCTCAGGTCTTGATCTCAGGGTCTTGAGTTCAAGCCCTGCACTGGGCTCCATACCCAGCGTGGAGCTGATTTTAAAAAAAAGCTGATTGGAGCGCCTGGGTGGCTCAGTGGGTTAAGCCTCTGCTTTTGGCTCCTGGGATGGAGCCCCGCATCGGGCTCTCTGCTCAGCGGGGAGCCTGCTTCCCCCTCTCTGCCTGCCTCTCTGCCTACTTGTCATCTCTGTCTGTCAAATAAATTTAAAAAAAAAATTAAAAAAAAAAGCTGATTAAAAAAAATATATATATATATATATAAAACCCAAAAATGATATTTAAGCACAAATACTGATAGTATGAATTTCCTAGTGGACAGAATATATTACAATTTATCTATTTAAAATAAATGGTCACATGATAAATATTCTCTTAATATGGAATTTTCTGAATGTCAGAAGACTATATAGCAAAATCAAATTACCTTGGTCAGCAGTAATTTAGAATTTATGACCTTTTGATCAAAGGTTGGACTGAAGTTTACCTTTGACTCTGTAAAAATAAGAAGGTTGTAAAGGCTAATCTAAGTTTAAGGAAGATTATAAGGGTAATATTTAATCTGCTAGAGGGAGCAAGCTTATATAGTGAAAATAGATTAACTTATTACAAATGTGAATTACAAAAACTTACAAATTCGTCATTTTCATTGTGAAGCATTGTTATATTGACCTCTACCAATCAATATTTTGTTCCCATGCTGGTGACTCTAAGCAGTTGGAAATAACACAATTGTAAATCTTTACAAATATTCTGTCATTCCAAATTTTCACTCTTTCAGGTGGACCTTGTATCTATCTGCTCCATTGCTTGAAATGAGTAAGACTGAAATTATTTTTATGTTGTTGTGCTACTGTTTGGGACAAAAACTGTGGTTCCCAAGTGCCATTCAGTGCACTAGTTGTCTTATAAGGATTCAGGGGATCTTTGAAAAAATATAAAATCCAAGTAGGTCTGGTTTGGGCCCAGCCATCTGTATTTTAGAAGGGCTCTGCTACTGATTCTTAGGCACTGAACACAGGAACCATCATGTTTATTAGACCGTCACTGGTTCTGCTTTCTCTCCACTAGGCTGGTGTCTCTCTAGATCTCTGGCTTTGATCACCCATGGTGACCCCCAGTTAAACTCCCTGACCCCAGTATTGCCCACTTTCTGTACCGCCTTCAGGGTAAAGTGTATACTCCTTGGCATGGGACACACGTTTCTCATGAAGAGACCCTGGCTGTCTTCTCTAGCCTCATCAGTCACCACCCATCGTCCTGTGTCCTTCAGTCTAGCTATATGGCGTGACTTTATCTTCTCTAAGCATGTCAGCTTTCTCAAGATTCTGTATTTTTGCACATGCCACTCTCTCTGCCTAGAACACTCTTTCTCCTTATTCTCATGCCTGATCCCTGCTTCTTGTCAAGACAAATGAAAGCATTACACCCTGAAGGCAGCTTGCCCAATTCTGTACTGCGTGAGTTTCCGTGCTGCCCGTAACCCTTGTAAAACTGCACTCTGATGCGGATTCTCTTGAGTATCTCTACTCCTGCTGGGACATCTGGAGACTTCAGTGACTGCTGCGCATTTTCAGGACTCTGAAGCTTAGTGAGGGAAAGCCTCACTAAAATGCAGGTGGGAGGTTTTGGCCCCAA